CTTCATATCTTACCTTGTGTAAATGTCCACTACTCCATTCTGGAAACCTCTTAACTTTGATTCAATTAATGTCAACACTTACACAAGGTAAGATATGAAGTCACCAGCATTCCAAATGAACATCTTGTACACTTTTTTTTGTGACGAAAGCGTCACATAGGTCTAAAGAATGCCAAATGTTCTGGGCTTGCAGGGTCCCTTTCTCAAAGCAACATAGTAACAGTATGTTGCCTTGAGGAATGGACCCCAAAATATTGTTGACTTACGTGATGCTTTCTTCACAATAAATATGTACAAGAGATTTATTTAGAATGCTGGTGACTTCATATGTTTCCTTGTGTAATTGTTGACATCGTTGGGCCAGTGTTGCGGGTCAGGGGTCTCTAAACACACCTGGCCCTCTACAGGATTGTTTGGTCAATGTTGTGGGGGTTCCAGTAGTTGAATAAGTCGGTGGACACTTACACAAGGTAAGAGATGAAGTCACCAGCACACCACATAAATGTCTTGTACATATTTATTGTAAAGAAAGCATCACAAAAGTCAACAAAGTGCCAACATTTTGGGGTCCCTTTCTTAAAGCAACATACTGTCACCTTGTCCACCACTCCATTCAACTGCTGGGAAACCCCCTCAACATTGACCCAACAATGCCAACACTTACACAAGGTAAGATATGAAGTCATCAGCACTTCATATGAATGTCTTGTATATGTTTTTTTATGAAAAATAAGTCACATAAGTGAACAGCATGCCAAGGTTTCAGGGTCCCTTCCTCAAGGCAATATACTCTCAAGGCAATATACTCTCCTTTCTTCTTGAGGATTGGACCTTGCAAGACCTGAAAGTTTGTCTTTCTTTTGACCTATGTAACACTTTCTTCATGATAAACAGGTGGAAGACATTTATTTGGAATGCTGGTGAATTCATATCTTGCTTTGTGTAGGTGTCCATTGCTCCATTCAACTGGAACTCCCACAGCATTGACTGACACAAGGTAAGACATGAAGTCATCAGCACTCCAAATGAATGTCTTTTACATGTTTTTTTGTGAAGAATGTGTCACATAGGTCAAAAGAAAGACAACTTTTCAGAGCTTGCAGGGTCCCCTATATAAGGCAACACAGAGACAGCATGTTGCCTTGAGGAAGGGACCCCGAAACATTGGTATTCTGTTGACCTATGTGATGGTTTCTTCATAATAAACATGTACAAGAAATTTATTTGGAGTGCTGATGGCTTCATATCTTCTCATCTGGTGTCAGCAGGGCCCCATCTGTAGCAATTCCAGCATCCACCATTTATCTGAAGGTCAAGTACTGTTAGGAGTGCATTTTCCAATTTACAATTTATCTTATACAAGGTAGACACACTTCCCCCACCACCATGGGACATGCGACTGGCCATGCAAGTGCTGAACTGTTGGGAAGCAAGGGGAGAAAGTCACATCTATAACCAGATGTCCTTGGTTTTTCTGCGGCTCTGACGGCTGAACAGAGCACAGTGCATAGTAAATATTTTGTATCCCCCACTCCCTGGTGTAAAGAGAACCTGTTAAATTTTAACTACAGGTTTAGTTAGTCCAGACCAACTATTTCCTTTACTAACATGTGTCCGCAGTCAGTGCTGTATAAACTCTATGTAGGATCAGCTACTGTATATACAGCGCTGTGTTCCTGCAGCAGTGCAATTCTGCCCACTGTCGAAAAACACAGGTTCAGGTGGCATTATTTTCAGTGGCACCTGAAACGTGGTGCGGTTTTGCCACGCAGATTGTTGCACTGCAAATAGCATAGTGTGAAGCCCGTCGTCTAAAAGAAGCTCCTGCTCCTTTTTTGGTGACAATCTTTACATGATGCAAATTGCCACACAGTAAATCACGTGACAAATGCGGCAAATCGCATCACGTGAAGCTCGTCATCCAAAAGAAGCTCCTGCTCCTTTGTTGGACAGCAAGGTTCACTTGATGCGATTTGCCACACAGTAAATTGTGTGACAAAACCGTATTTTAGGTGCCAATGAAAATAATGACACCTGAACCTGCGTTATGCGATTGTAGTGCATTTTGAGATTGCGGGCAGAATCACAGCGATTCTGCGCAATCCCAAAACACCCAGGTGTGAATGGGGCCTAATGGAGCAGACACCAGAGCTTGATTTGGCTGCTCAGCAGGCGCCAGTACTGAGTGCCCAAGTGCTTCCATGGGCCAGGGTAAGCTGAAGGAATAAAGTGGGTTTTTTTTTTCTCATTGGGGCCGGCGCCTTTTTTACTAGCTCAGCAGATGCGCTTCTGTTGAGCCTTGAAAGAGCCTGAAAATATCATCTAAACAGCCTAGTTATTTCTTATACATCGCAGTGATCTCACTATAAATATTTTTAAACAGACACGTTAGAGAAGTACTGGCCAATTCACACCTCTTATTATAGCAGATGGTTAACAAGTGCAAAAAAAAAAATAATAATTTTTAGATAATTAATATAATTAGATTTGTAAAAAGTAAATTGTGCAGATTGTATATTCTTAGTTTAAAGTTCATTCCACCAATCGCTGAAGTTTTAGATTTTGCTTGATGCCAGTTAGTGTAAAGCTGATCTCCAAACATTTGTTATTCAAAAATATAGAAATCCCTGTGCAAACCCAGATATCACTTTGTAAAAGCAGCAGTGACACACCATCATTGTGCCTGTGCAGACAGCAGGGCTGTTGGTGGAGGGGGGGGGGGGGGGTGCAGCAGGCATCACCCACTACAGGCTGCCTGCAGAAAACTACAGGAGGGGGCGGAGACAAGACCAGTCAATGCACAAGGAGAGAGTGCAACAGTGACTGGTCTTTATTAGAGGAATCTCCAGTGACTGGTCTGTATTAGAGATAGAATTTCACACTGGATTACTGGATTACTGCACAGATCAGGAAGTAACACACAAGGCACACCGAGATTCAAGTAAGAATACTGAGAAGAAGTAAAAAAGAATAAGCATGATTCTCGTATTTAGACTTTATGTGTTTATTGTGTGCAGATAATAAAGTGTTATAATCCCACGCTTATCCGAAATCTGAGCCGTGTTGCCCATACACTCCTGGTAAATTATATACCCCAGTGTTTGTAGTAAATCAGCTTGTAAAAAATAAATTAATAGTAACAAATTGCAATAAGTGTAAATAACAAATTACTAACAGAAGGCTACAAACATACAGCATGTCCCCACAGCGTACCTAAAGTGTTACTAAACCCCCGACCCTGCATTCTCTATATCTGGTCTCCCCGGACCCTGCATTCTCTATATCTGGTCTCCCCAGACCCTGCATTCACTATATCTGGTCTCCCCAGACCCGGCATTCACTATATCTGGTCTCCACGGACCCTGCATTCTCTATATCTGGTCTCCCAGGACCCTGCATTCACTATATCTGGTCTCCCCAGACCCGGCATTCACTATATCTGGTCTCCCAGACCCGGCATTCACTATATCTGGTCTCCCCGGACCCTGCATTCACTATATCTGGTCTCCCCAGACCGGCATTCACTATATCTGGTCTCCCCGGACCCTGCATTCACTATATCTGGTCTCCCCGGACCCTGCATTCACTATATCCGGTCTCCCTGGACCCTGCATTCACTATATCCGATCTCCCCAGGCCTGCATTCACTATATCTGGTCTCTCCGGACCCTGTATTCTCTATATCTGGTCTCCCCGGTCCCTGCATTCACTATATTTGGTCTCCCCGGACCCTGCATCCACTATATCTGGTCTCCCCAGACCCTGCATTCTCTATATCTGGTCTCCTCGGTCCCCGCATTCACTATATCTGGTCTCCCCAGACCCTGCATTCACTATATCTGGTCTCCCCAGACCCTGCATTCTCTATATCTGGTCTCCCCGGACCCTGCATTCACTATATCTGGTCTCCCCGGACCCTGCATTCACTATATCTGGTCTCACCTGACCCTGCATTCACTATATCTGGTCTCCCCGGTTCCCCCTGCATTCACTATATCTGGTCTCCCCGGACCCTGGATTCTCTATATCTGGTCTCCCCGGTCCCTGCATTCACTATATCTGGTCTCCCCGGTCCCTGCATTCACTATATCTGGTCTCCCCGGACCCTGCATTCACTATATCTGGTCTCCCCGGACCCTGCATTCACTATATCTGGTCTCCCCGGATCCTGCATCCTATATCTGGTCTCCCCGGACCCTGCATTCTCTATATCTGGTCTCCCCGGTCCTTGCATTCACTGTATCTGGTCTCCCCGGACCCTGCATCCACTATATCTGGTCTCCCCAGACCCTGCATTCACTATATCTGGTCTCCCCGGACCCTGCATTCACTATATCTGGTCTAGCGGGACCCTGCATTCACTATATCTGGTCTCCCCGGACCCCGCATTCACTATATCTAGTCTCCCCGGACCCGGATTCACTATATCCCGTATTCACTATATCTGGTCTCCCAGGACCCTGCATTCACTATATCTGGTCTCCCTGGACCCTGCATTCACTATATCTGGTCTCCCCGGACCTTGCATTCACTATATCTGGTCTCCCTGGACCCTGCATTCACTATATCTGGTCTCCCTGGACCCTGCATTCACTATATCTGGTCTCCCCGGACCCTGCATTCACTATATCTGGTCTCCCCGGTTCCTGCATTCACTATATCTGGTCTCCCCGGTCCTTGCATTCACTATATCTGGTCTCCCAGGACCCTGCATTCACTATATCTGGTCTCCCAGGACCCTGCATTCACTATATCTGGTCTCCCACAATACACAGAACATGGAAATGCAATGATTTTAGTAAATATAAACTGCTAAATACCTTTTCTCATCAGCAGTTAGAGCAGTCTTGTGACTTCTATCAGTGTCCAGCAGAACACTGGTTAAAGCTTGTAGGAGGAGTTTTCATTCTGCTCTTGAAGGATGCAGAACCCCTGACCTCTGTCTGGACAGTGCTGATTGGCCCCGTGCTGCTCAAATGCACCCTCCCAAGAATACACACCAAACTGAGCATGTGCAGAGTGTCTCCACACGATTTGTTTTATCAGGAGATAAGAGGGGGTCACTGGAAGAAGGGGACGATCAGAGACGTCATGATCAAATAGCATTTTTACACAATGCGGAGGATTAACCCTTTGGGTTCTACAGTGAGTATAGCAGGCTTGCTTTTCTGTGCATACAGACTGATTTTATAGTTGTGGGTTTAGTAACACTTTAAAGTGGTTCCAAAAGTAAAAGGGTTTTTTTACCTTAACGCATTCTGTGCAATAAGGTAAAAACCTTCAATGCACAGTTCTCCCTCCCCCTCCCTTATACTTACCTAAATGTACCCAATTTTTATACAGCAATGTGCACGAGAGCAGCGGCTCTCTCTCTCCTTATTGGACAGAGAGGCAGCAGTGAGAGCAATTGGCTCCTGCTGCTGTCAATCACTGCCAGTGAGGAGTGAGCAGGAGGTGGGCCAGAGCTGCACTATGCGTGACTATGGACACACAGAGCTGAGTTTGGGAGCGAACCTGCACAGGTGCCCCCATAGCAAGCGGCTTGCTATGGTGGGCTCTCAGTGGGGAGAGGATCCAGGAGCACCAGAGGGGGACCCAAGAAAAGGAGGATCACGGCTGCTCTGTGCAAAATCATTGCATGGTGCAGGTGAGTATAACATGTTTGTAATAAATAAATAAATACAATTATTCTTTAGAATCACTTTAAGCCCTGGTTCACACTGGATCCGACTTTGAAATCGTGCGACTTCACTTGAAGACGCACGATTTCAAAGTCGGGTGGCAGTGCGACTTCATGCACAGATGTCTATGCAAGTCGCACCCCAAATCTGCAAAATAGTGGAGTAACTACTTTACAAATCACACCGATTAGAACGGTTCCACTTCACATCATTGGATGCAATTTTGCCTCAGTGTAAACCAGGGCTAACTCTGGGTGTGGTTTTTCCTGCATAGTTACATGATTCCAGCTTGGATCTGTGCAAGAATAGATATTCCATACTTGAGGCTGCCCTTCTTCACTCGCTTGGCATGGCTGCCAATCATTAAACGGCTCGCATTTTTTTCGATGAACACAAAGCCTTCTCTAAACGGACGAGAATGAAATGGTGGCACCACCAACCTGCCTCTCTGGGTAGTATGGAACCCAGAACACCATGGCAATCGTTGTAGTAGCAGCAGCAACTACTACAGTGATTCTCTGATTCCACAGCAATCCCACAGGTATGGAATATGTATGCTTACAGTAATCCAAGTTGGCCCAATGTAACTATGTAATTAACATTATACCTGGAGTTCATCTTTAAGGCAGCTCCAAAATGAATCATTTATTCTTTATATGTTGTAAATGTAAGCAGTCCAAGTTCCTGAGTTTGACCTGGTATTAGCCTCCTGCAGCCTACTGTCCAATCTATACAACAAAGCTCAGAATGAGGAAGGGAGAAGCAGCACAAGGAGCTAATCAGGTGTGATGCTGCACAAGTAGCTTGCTGATAGTAGGATATAGATTGTAAACTCGAAAGAGCAGGGCCCTCAATCCCCTCATGTTTTGCATTGTATTGGTATTGTTCTGTCACATGTTCTGTCCCCCTTTGTAATGTACAGCGCTGAGCAAACTATTGACGCTTTATAAATACTGTATAATAATATAGCAGAGTTACTGAAAAATGAACTCATTGGTATGCTGCTTATTCTTTTACCAGTTGGGAGTGGAAAGAGGACCTGTAAGTATAAGTGAAACTGCAACATCAGGCCCCCTCCCCTTCTAGACACCACTTTGCTGGGGGTCACAGCTGTGTAAATAGAAAATAAGAAAGGAAAAGAGGTGCACAAGCCTTGAGCATTACCTCAATAAAAATGTTAATCATACAAAGTAGCAGATGTATACTCACAAATAACAAATGTACACAGGCATATCATGACCGTTAGTGGTCCATGGTCTGAGATGAGGCACGAGTCCCACATGTAAAAAGGACGCTTGGGAATGACTGATGCGTTTCGAGGAGCGATCCCCTCTTCATCAGAGCTGTCTTGGTGACAGCTGTGCAAATCTCACAACGGGATGGACAAAAATTCAAAGCCTTTGACAGGTAAAATAGCTCTTGTCCATTGTATTTCATTTGTGTGTTTAGCTGTTTTCCTGGAGTTCAGCTTTAATCGCGGTTCACACATCCTACCTGCCCCTATCAATAATGCATGCTTACCGTGAAACAAAGATACTGAGCCAAACGCACCGCGGTCATCGCAGTTACCAGGAACATTCCCCGGGCACTACAGGAATGATTAGAACAATATTTCAGTGCAGTATCTATCCTGTTAGAGACACAAGGCTGTTCTTTAAGGCTTCGCTCACCTGTGCGGATAGTGGATGGTAAAACCAGTTGGATGAGCTGTGGTTCTACTGCCCCCTAATCACCCACCTGAACAAAGACATGCACTGGCATGTCCCCATAAAGAGTACCGGTCACCTGCCCAATGCTATCACATGGGAGTTTGTTAAAGTATATGCAAACCCTCACCATATAGAACAACCCTTTCAGTCTAAAACAGAAATGAAAGGCAAAACATTTGCATATATATGTATATAGATATAAAAGACATTATAAACACTTTTTTTTTTCTTTTTTTATAAGTGATTTATAAGTGACATACTCTCGGTTCTTACCTGAACTGAGCTGGGGGAGGTGAAACAGCACCACATTGATCTTCCCAGTGAATGGCTTTAAGTGTGTGTGTGTGTGTGTGTGTGTGTGTGGGGGGGGGGGGGGGGGGGGGTCAGCACAAACCTGATTATTGGCGCACAGCAGGCTGAACTCCCAGCACAGCTACAGAAATAACCACACTGTGCTATCATTCCTAGTGTGGTCAGTTTTTAAATATGAAGGCAAAAGGACTGGCAGGAACACCAGGGATTTCACACAAAGAAAGCAATACAAAGAGAACAGGATACGTTTTCATGCAAGTACATGGTACAGCAGACACATAGCAGGAATATGAAATGTTGGGTTTACATATTCTTTAACTTAATAAAAAAAAAAGAAGAAAAGATAATATAATAAAATAGATTAAACAATAAAAGAATGAAATGGAAGCCCTGTTGCTCTGCACACAGTCACAAATGAAAAGGCTTGCACAGGGTATGCATGTGTATGTAAACTGAGATTGCATCACACGCGAGATATCGCAACTGTTGGTTTTGTGTTAGAGAAGACACTGGTAGCTTGTGATGAGGCAGAATTCTGTTTTACTTGTGTGGCTTAAGTTACAAAACATACACAGCACATTTCAGCAGAAATCTTCTTGAAGAGAGGAAGAGAAGAGAAGGAAGAGAGAGAACCAACAAGTTTTACACATATGCACAACTGATAACCTTAGTGTACAGTGCCATCTACTGTTCAAGTGATATTAACACACAATACTATATAGTACATGCTGTTGTATCTCCAACAGCAACGAATGTTGGAGTGAGCTCAATGATTACTGCACTATAGATCACAGCTATCCCTAAACTAATGAGTAGTAAAGGCTTTGAGCCCTGGTTCACACTGATGCCACTCAGATGCATTTCTGATGTGACTCAGATGGTGATTCAGATGCATTTCTGATGAACCCTGATGAAGTCACGAGTCACCTGACGTCATTTCCTGTACGAGGTGACGCACTTCCGGTAGCGGCCATCTTGCTATACCCAGTATACCATGCAGTACACCCATAGGATGTGGTGACAGGCGTTTTTGTTACTGGGGATACATGTGAGTGCTTTACCTACTTTTTCCTGCAATTTAAATAAAAGGATACTGCACTATGGAAGGTTTCTTGCTTTATACCCTATATATGCAGTCTTGAGTGGAGGGGGAGTGAATAAAGTGCGCTGGGCAGAGGTCTTTACCCTATTCCAAAGTCCCTGTGATGAGGAGTGGAGAGGAGAGGATCTGTTACTATTAATTATAGCCCTGTGGCCCTGCGCGGGTCGATGTGCGGAGGAGAGCAGGCATTGCTGCCATTTGAGGATTTCTGTTTCATTTTCACTGGAGTGAAGATCACATCAGCACGGTTTCACTTGCATGGACTTTATGTTTTTATATAACACAGATATAATTTGATTTGTTTGCTGTTTGGTCACATGCAGTGTGTTGTTTAGAGATTGATATATAGCACTGGATGGTTTTTTCTCCTTAAAGAATCACTTCACTACTATTTGTATTATGTCACCATAATAAGGTTCTGTTTCACTTATATATTTGTTGAATGAGATGTATTTGTTTGCAATCATTTTTCACTGAGCACCATTGTGTTTGCATGGCAAGCAATATTTAACACTAATTTACTTATTAGATAGATTTTGTTTATAGCGCTGCACTATTCACAGTTATTTTTCAGATGCATTTCTGATGCGACTCAGATGCCGACTCAGATGCATTTCTGATGCGACTCAGATGCCGACTCAGATGCATTTCTGATGCGACTCAGATGCATTTCTGATGCGACTCAGATGCATTTCTGATGCGACTCAGATGCCGACTCAGATGCATTTCTGATGCGACTCAGATGTCGACTCAGATGCATTTTTGATGCGTTCCAGGACGCATAGATTCACATGTCAAGGGAAATAACACGGCTTTCTATGGAGGTCATTCACACCTATGCGTTCCAAAACCGATGCGATTTCCAAAAGGGTGCTGTGCGTGTTTGATGCGATGCAATGCGTTTTTGAGCCCCATAGATTTGAATGGAAACAGCAGTTAGTAAGCATAGGTGTTCAAATGTAATGTGATTTCGGAGCAAGATACACCTATTACTAATGCGTAAAATCACATCAGAATCACACGACAATTGTTCCTGAAATTGCACTTGGAAACGCATAGAAATCGCACAGCATCAGTGTGAAGTAGAGCTCAAAGCTATGCCTATGGAGATTTTTGGGTACCATAGTTTTTCATGATACCATGGCCAATTTTAGCAAATAAGTTCCCTTTTTAGAAAAAAAATGATAAATGTAATTTTTTTTTTCTTAGGAGCCTGCAGAGCATTGCATCCGTGATCAGGCACATTGCAGGTGCTATTTCAGTCGGCTTCAGACTGTCCGTATAGCTGTCTGCCCATATCTCCCATATTTACAGACAGTTACTGAAGTCCAGGAAGGTCAATGAACTACGAGAGAACTCACCAGCGCCCTCACAGTTCACTGAGAACTATACGCTGTCTGC